GGAGAGAGGTAGGAGGTGCTTCCAGCCTCAATACTTTGGTTGGGAAGCTGGATCATTCCCAGANCGTCATTTGTTTTTGCTAAAATATCATACTCGTTCTTTATATGCCTGAAAGAAACTAGAGCATCAAGGGACTCTTTACTGGTCTTGATCCAATCATCAGTCATTTGCTAGAGGTCTCCCTTTGTCTTTCTGAGCTCCTCGTGGGCTATCCTGCCTTCAATCTTGAATTTCTCCTTCTCAGCCTCCAGGGTCTTCATAGTAGAGGTATGCCTCTCTACCTGAGCCCGCAAGTCTTGAACCTGGGCTTTAAGGTCACTATTCTCAAAGGACAGCTCAACAGCCTTGAGCTTGAAAGTCCTGGAAGCNGCCTCTCTACCTGAGCCCGCAAGTCTTGAACCTGGGCTTTAAGGTCACTATTCTCAAAGGACAGCTCAACAGCCTTGAGCTTGAAAGTCCTGGAAGCCTTAGCTGAGCCCTCCAAAGCCTGGATCCTCTTCAATAAGCCACTCACATGAATGGCCATCTGGAAGCAAGCACAACCAAAGAGCTAAAGTAAGCATGAGGAAAGGGGGAAAGGCGAAGGAGAAATCTAAGAAACTAAGAACTCATTGAAGTAGGCAATGGAAATGGAGGTCCCGAGGGGTATGGTTACAGCCCTTTTTATGTCAGAGTATGTAATAATAGAGGCAATGACTTCTACAACACACTTTACGTTGTCAATAAGGGAGCCTCCACTTGTCTCAACTTTGGGGAGCTTCCCCTTCTCATCCCTGGAACCCTTGGTAAGCTGTTAAGAGGGCTTCTCAGGAGGGCAAGGAGGACAAGACCCAGGTAACACACGAGTGACTATCTCCAAAGCTTTTTCAACCTCAACCGAGGAGGGAGAGCTCGGGACTATACTCTGTTCAGGAGTTCCTCCAGAGGCAGACAACCTAGCCTCAAGGGAAGAAGGGGACTGTGCAGTCTTCTAGGAGCTCGTAGGCGATAGAAACTTCACTTGAGATACTTGGAGAGAGGTAGGAGGTGCTTCCAGCCTCAATACTTTGGTTGGGAAGCTGGATCATTCCCAGAACCGACTTCAGCTTTGCGCTTACTAACATTCCAGGTTTTCCATATCAAATCCACCTTAGCTTTGCGATCCTTCATGGTGGGCTCCATCAATGAAGAACCTGAAAGCACACAGAATAAACGGTTTAGAAGAAAAGAAAGGAAAAGGAAGGCTAGAGTAGGAAAGAGCCAAAGGCAGAAAAACTATCTGCTATTCCTTCAACTCCTGCAACGGAAAAAGGAATAGGGGCTTCAATCCTCACCTCAGGAGGGCTGAAACCCAGTCTAGTCTCGGAAGGATCAATTAGACTAGAGTACCTCTAGGATTTCCAGTCTCTAAAGGTGAGTAGAACCCTATTGTCCTCTGCTCATAGCTCAGGACAAACACCTGGAACAACCAAAGAAATGAGCTCAGTAGCTATGACAAGAAGAAGAAAGGAAGGCCTTGTTACGAGACCTTAAGCTTACCGAGGTTATATGGACTCGCCCAAGAGCGTGGGAATGGAAGTGAGTCAGAGGCGTCATTGGGGTCAAATTCCCACATTTTTCCTGACACAAAGAAGAACTATTTTTTCTAGTTCTTATGAGAGTTGGGCAGGTCAGTAATCAGGGCTGGGATATTAACCCGTTTGGCAATGTATAGAAGGCCGTCTGGGTTGAATTTGACTTTGAAGAATTTCATGAGCAGTGGAATAGTAGGGGTGTCAAGTTTATTTTTCTTGAAAAAGACTAGAAGACCCACCAACACCCCCCAAAAGTTAGGAGAGATCTAAGCAGGGCAGANACTTTGAAGAATTTCATGAGCAGTGGAATAGTAGGGGTGTCAAGTTTATTTTTCTTGAAAAAGACTAGAAGACCCACCAACACCCCCCAAAAGTTAGGAGAGATCTAAGCAGGGCAGACATTGAAATGTTGATGAACTGACTTAATAAAGGGGTGTACAAGGAACCTAAGCCTGTTCTCAAGAGAAGCAACAAAAAAATAGGTTTTATCGGGAACCTTAGTGTTATACCGAGTAAATTCATCTGGGCACCAGTACTCTACATCCTGGGGAAAGCCGAAGCGAGCAACCATGACTTTCATATAGGGAGAGGAGACCTCGCTAGCACCTACGAGTTATGCAACTCTGGAACCTATACCCTTAGCACTGTCCGAGATCCCTACGCCAATGCCAGGAAAGTTATCTATATTTTCCTCAATATCAACAGAGCCAATGCCAGGAAAGTTATCGATATCCTCTCCCATATCTCCTAAGTCAGAATCCTCTGTTTCAAGAGATATATCCATAAGGGAAACCAACGAAGCAGTAGCTTCAGAGGAAGCAGACATATTGGGGAAAGAAAAATGGAGCCTAAAAGATCTATAGAGAGGAGGCGCCTCTAAATAACACTCTCTGATGATCACAGTTTCGACGCAACAACTTCCGATAACGAAGATCCTAGCAGTAAAGTAGGGATCCAGGAAAAGGGGGAGACAAGATAAGGAGAGACCTCGATTCCTAAAGTAGCAGAACTAAAAAGTTCAAAAATGCAATAACCACCTTAGGTTCAGGGGATCCAGAACCAAGAAACACGCAAGGGGCAAAAGACGTACCTAATCAAGGGTGGATGGAAAGTCAGAACCCCAAAGTGNAGGTTCAGGGGATCCAGAATGAAGAAACACGCAAGGGGCAGAAGACGTACCTAATCAAGGGTGGATGGAAATTCAGAACCCCAAAGCGAGAAATAAGAACAAGTCTTGCAAGCCAATTCGAGGAAGGATGGCAACTCAGCGGAACCCTAAGATCACCGATGAATTGGGGACGCGAGGAAGAAGAGAAACCGAAAGAGAAAATTCAAAAGATGGAGTGAAAGTTGTTTTCCACCAACTTAGAGGCATTTAAAGCTACTGGTACATGGGACTTTGGAATGAGGAACATGCGTGAGAAATAAGAAAGGAAATGATTGCTTGTGATCGTCAAAAACCTGTATGCACGACTATCAAGATCGATGGATAGAGGTCTCCTTCGGACCAGCCTTGATAAAACCCTAGTCCAAGCCAGCTTAGACCAAGGGCTGAGGGGCAATTGGTGATACCAAGAAAAACTCTAGGTATGCCCTCAAGTAATGAGCTCAGACCAGGAGGTCAGGCCAAAACCAAAGCTCAACAATCCAACACTCGAGTTTCTTACAAAGGGATTAACAAGGAAATTGAGAAGAGGACAGTTAGCTGATGAAAGGCGTCCTCATAGCAATGGGGAGCTATAATCAAGGCACAAGACACTTAACCAACCAAAGATCTCCCTAAAATCAAGGGAGAACCCATGAATGAAGGGCAAAAATCTTGTTGTAGATCCCTGAGGAATAGGGACCGGTTTATAAATGCTGTACAATGCCTCCAATGAAAGGGAGAAAAACCTAACATACTGAGAGATTCTCTGTAAATGGAATTCGTGATTAATAAAGATACAAGGGACAAGAGACTCCATTAGAGAGTGGATTAGCCAAGCTTCCGGGCTGATGAACCACTATACTTCCACTATAAAAATCAATCATTCCATGCTCAATCCATCTTTGACTCATCAGTTTGGCTCAGCAGCTCTGGTTTGACTATGTTTAGACAATCACCCTAATTGCTCATTCGCTTAAAAAAAACACCATCACAATCCAATATCGATCCCTAAAGGGACTTGTGTAATACTGTGGTCACTTTTCGGAATCTTATCACAGTTCTTACATAATAAAGGTAAGGTGCAATAACTATTTGGGAGTGATTTTACCTGTTTACTTGTAACTTTCGACATGGTACCTCCTTCAATACATAAGTATTCATTCCCAGTTACATTGAGCCAGCAAGAAAATAGTTGAACTTAGTGCTCAAGCCTTACGCAAGAAAGCAGCAAACTGATGCAAGCTATTAGGACCTTAACTTCCTCTTCTCACCATAAAACCAAATGCAGCTTCATACACCACTTACCAGTAAACCCTTTCAATCTAGCTGAGAGTACACCTTTGTGGAGTATCCATAGCAGCAAAGAGTGATTACTTCACCAAGTCCCTGTAATACAGCCAAAGCAAATTCTTTATACCAACATCATCAATGAGACAGACTAAAGTACTGCAGCTAATGTTACATCAGATTAAGATGTTTCCGAACAAGGTTCATCAATTTTATGTCAGTGACATAATTTCATTCAGAAATAATACTAGTTAGCATTCCTACAGTAATCAAAATATAAGTAGAATACTTCAACATGATTATATCATTTAAACGGAGCAACCACAAAAGGGAAAAACAAAAGGCAACAACAATTGATCTACAGAAAGATTGGTTTGTGCTTAAAGAATGATCATGAAAGGATACGCAGCTTTATTGCGTCTAACGACTGAAGGGAAAGCAGAACATTAGGATGCAATCTGATGAATTATGGAGACTGCACATTCTGCTGCATTCTCAAGAACGGAGTCATAACCACACAAGTTGTTAGCTCTTTCTTTTTTTTCCTTTCTTCAAATTGGAAATCTCAACCTAAAAGCAAAGAAAAAGAAAACAAAACAAAGTATAAAAGGGAACTAACTTCAAAAATGACGTAGTAAAGCAGCAAGGAAGGCTTCAAATTACACCGACATCAAAATAATATGTAAAGCTCGGGCAGGTTATTGACATTTCCTTTGACAGTCGAGGGAACTGAAAGCTAAGCAGAAGTAATTCTAAAGATTTCCGGAGAAAAATAGAGATGTCTCCTACATTACAAGTATATGCATCAAATGCGGATTTCCATTATTTCAGCTGAAAAATTATGGCCAAGTTGGCCTACATATACAGAATCCAGACTTCTCATTATCCACTACCAAAGCAGTGTTTAAGGGAAAACCAAAGTAAATTTATCAATACTCTCTCTACAGTTATGTTTTTCTCTTCAAAACTCAAAAGAAAGTGAGCTCGCTGAGAAGAAAACACAATAATAAATATCATTGTCTACTATCCCCTATTCCCACTAAATCAAGCCATGAAACAACTTGATCAATAGAGGGTCTTCGCCTTGGATCCTGGTCTATACAATTGCAAGCTACACCAAGCACCTCTAGAAGTTTTTTCTCCCTTTTCTTATCCCATATCGATGAATCAAATATTTCCTCCTCCCTCTTCTCAGATTTCATCTGAAACACCCATGACACCAAGTCCCTGCAGTTTCTTCCCTTGCAGACTTCCACGGGTCGTCGACCTGTAAGAAGCTCAAGAAGAACAACACCAAAGCTGTAAACATCACCCCTGAAAGTTGCTGTCAATGTCTGACTGTATTCAGGAGGAATATACCCCAAGGTCCCAACCAAATCTGTCGTCACATGGGTATCATAAGGATTAAGTAACCTTGAGAGCCCAAAATCAGCTAAATGAGCTTCAAAACACTCATCCAAAAGGATGTTGCTGGTTTTAATATCTCGATGGACTATTTTGGGCTCCTTATGCAAGTAAGCTAATCCACAAGCAGCACCTTGGGCTATCTTCAGTCTCGTGTCCCACCTAAGCACTGAGCTTCCATCGACCCTCTCATGTAGCCAATAATCCAAGCTTCCATTCTCCATATATGCATAGATCAATAACCTGTCATTCCCATGCCGACAATACCCTTGAAGAGAGACAAGGTTCTTGTGCTGAGCTCTTGAAAGGGCTTCAACTTCAGCTTGGAATTCACGTTCCATCTGCCCACAGTCCCCAGAAAGCCTCTTGATTGCAGCTTTCATACCATTAGACAAGTCAGCTTTGTAAACCAGACCAAATCCTCCACAACCAATGATGTTTGCTTGGCTAAAGTTGTTTGTAGAATTCAACAAGTCTGCCACTGTGAGATCCTTGCAATCCGAATTCTGAAAAAGCACCAACTTCGAAGGCCCAAACGCTTCAGATAACCTGTGCGGCCTGCTGATATCCTCATCGAATCCTTCTCTTGGATCTCCCACGTCCCTCCTTGACATTCTAACAAGAACAATGGCCAAGAGCACTGCAATCCCAACTCCTATACTAATCGTTATTCCAACGATACTGCTTCGGCCAAATTTACTATTGGAACCAGGTTGGATGGCTGGTTGAAGTCCCATATTGCAAGGAGAAACAACCCCCCCACAAAGTCCAGGGTTGCCCTCAAAGCTTGAGTTGGGAAAGCTTAAGAACTGGCCCCCAGTTGGAATTGCTCCCTGCAAGTGATTATTAGCCACACTGAACTGCGACAGAAAAGTGAGCTTATTGAATGAGGAAGGAATCACTCCATAAAGATCATTGCATGACAAATCCAGAACTTCCAAGTTCCCCATATCCGAAATGGAGCTAGGGATGGTCCCAGTTATGTTGTTCTTACTCAAATCTAAGATATGGAGCTGTTTCAATTGACCAATTCCTGGCCAAATTGACCCATTTAATTTATTACTGCTCAAATATATAGACGGAGGAAAACTTGAAGCCTGATTGTACTGCAAACCAGTAGAACTTTGATTTCGCTTGACGAACAGAGGTATGCCAGTGGTAGTGTTAAGATTGGATGAACTGTTGTTTATGGAAATGAGGCTCTTTAGCTCAGTCAGACTCTTTGGAATTTCACCCACAAGCGAATTATTCGAGAAGTCCAAGTAGAACAAACTTTCCATCTGACCAATCCAATCAGGGATACTGCCATCCAAGTGATTCCAAGACAAATCGAGGACTTCTAACTTGCTGCAATAAGTTAACCAAACTGGGATCTGGCCATACAGGCCACAATTCCCGAGTGCAAAAATCATTAAGCTCTCAAACCCACTCAAACTTTTTGGGATTTCCTCTCCATGGAAGTTCTTTGTTAGTATGAGAGTGGTGAGATTCCTGCACTGCTGCAGAACATCTAACGCTCTAGATAAATTCATGAAACTGTTGTTCGACAAAGATAGAAATGAAAGGGATCTGAGGTTGGCATAGTTCTCAGGAATCTGGCCAGTTAGCCCATTCTTCGCAAGACTCAATTTTTTCAATTTCTGACAACTAGACAATGAATACGGCAGGGGACCCGAAAAATGATTACTTGCAAGATCAAGAGTACAAAGAAAAGGCAATTGAGTGAAATCAAGATTAATAAAGCCAGATAAAGTGTTGTTCCTAAGATCAAGCACCCGTAGGTTTGCGCAGAGTGCCAGTGTGGAAGGCAAGGGTCCAAGGAACGAATTTGAATGTGCAACTAGCTGTTCTAAATGTGTTAAGTTCCCAAATACATTAGGTAGGGGACCCGAAAATCGGTTCCCATTTATGACTAAGGTCTTAAGGCTAGATATATTACTGAGTTTCATGCTTAACTGGCCAGAGAAATTGTTGGAAGAGAGTGAAACCTGCTCCAAAGAAGACATTGAATACAATGAGTCCGGAATGTGCCCTGACAGAGAATTGTAATCCAAATGCAACTGCTGCAGAGATATGCTGCAATTGTCCAAGCCTTCAAGCGCTCCAGTGAAATGGTTCATGGATAAATCAATAATCCGAATCCTCATGGAGGAACTGCATATCTGAGAATTGAATTCTCCAGAAAATGAATTGTTGCTGATGTTGAATACAACAGCATTTGGAAATCCCCCAATATTCAGCAAGTCCCCATTGAATGAGTTGCTAGAAATGTTCAGTGATTGGATGGATTTCAATCCAACAAGCACTCCAGATACAAGTCCTACCAACAAGTTATGACTCAGATCAAGAACTTCTAGCCGCTGCAAATTTGAAAGGTCTGTGGGCAATCCGCCTTCGAGACGATTATGCGAAAGATCAAGCACTTTCAACCAATCCAATCTGCCCAAAGAATTCGAAATCACTCCCTTCAAACCTTTTTTGGACAAATTAAGCATGGTCACTCTATTTGCAACTGATCCATTACCACCATTTTCACAGGCAACACCATCCCATTTACAGCATATGGATTCATTGGACCATGCTGAAATAATGGACCCATATGTAAGGTTTCCTGCAAGTTCTTGCAGAGCCAGCAAATCATTTGGATGACATGTTTGGCTGGGGATTTCAAGACCCAGAGATGAACAAACAAAGAAAGCCAGGAATACCCAATTGAGGAAAGTCATTGGAAAAATCTCAAATACCACAATTACCGAAGCCAAAGGAGACACCCAACTCAAATCAAGGCCAACACCACCATAAACTTGTTCAATTTGACATGATTGCTCTGTCACTGCTTTTCAGAAGTAAGAAGAAGGCCAAAATAAGAAACTTTGCACACCCACCTCCCAAAACACATCAGAAATCACAAAGCACCACTCTAATTTCTTGCAAGTGGAGCAACAATCACTGCCACCAAGACTAGTTGAGATCCACAAATCCCCAACTGAAGCTCAATTCCTGGAACAAGGACTCTAAATTAATTAGAAAACACACTCTGCCTTATATAGAAAGGAAGGAAAACCCCAAATGAAGACACTTCACACCCACATCCCAAAAACAAATCACAAACTCACAAAAAAGGCCCAACGTGCAAGTGAAGCAATTAACACCAGTGAAAACCCACCGAGATCCTTTGTCCCCACATGAAATCATATACCCAGACCAGAGACCAAGGAACGCAAAACCCTAATTAACACTGGTAAAGAAAACAAGCACTAGCGTATGCATAAAGAAAAGAAAAAAGAAGAAGAAACCCCAGAAGAAGAAATTTCAAACCCACATCCCAAAACACCTAAAAAACCACAAAGAAAAATCCAACAAAGAACTTCTAACTGAAGCAACAATCACCACCATTAAGAGTACATGAGAACTCCCCAATTAATTTCAAATCCCCAGATAATACGTGCACAGACTGTGAACCCTAGTCCGATCAACGAGCTTAAATGCCGAAAGAAAGTTGTTCAATCCAGACCCACAAAACAAATCCCAACGGGGAAAACCCTCAAAAAGATTTGATTTTTCAATGCATATCACTTGCAAATGAACCAAAAGAATCCTCTATAAACTCAAGTGCTCCTACCTCCCATTTTTTTCCCAATGCCAATACAGAATCCAAAGAAAGGAATAAAGAGAGGGAAAGAGAAAGAAAGTAAAAGGTTTGAAACCAAATGTGAAAAAGGAGTGGGATTAAATCCAATTGCATTCAAGGCCAGAGAAAGAAAGTTTTTTTTTCTGTCTAGAAAATCTAATTATATTATGGACAAAGTAACTGGTGAACTGGTTTGAAATGGTGACACAAAGAGCTGACTTTTGGGGGCTGCAATTTTATTTTCTTGTCCCACAGTTTTCACAGATCACGAGCCTGACTCGTTGTCAATACCCACATTTGTCTCTTTCCTCCTCCTCCTCCTCCTCCTCTCTCTCTCTCTCTCTCTCTCTCTCCGTAGAAAATGTATTAGTCGGAGGTGATTTGATAGTTACCGAATAAAAGGATGGTGGGATTTGATGAGGTTGGACACGTTTGGTGCGGGCTTACGAGGACAAGAGGATTAGTAGTCCCACGTTTATGTACCATGCGTTGAAAGTCATCCTTAGAAAATTTTTGACTTTTTAGTGTCGTATTTTCTAATTTTTTGAAATGACCCAAATCCCTTGTTAAGTTAATAGTTTTACGTGAATGGCGAATATATATACATCAGTAATAATTCGTGTCTAAAGACACGGTGCGGTATAAAAATTGAGTGTCCTAAAAAATCGAGTAAATATATTTAATCACGACAACTACTTTTTTAAAAAAAATAGACAAAATAGATCAACTTATTGTACATATCTTCCTATTATTAAGAAACACATAAATTTAAAGAAAACACGACTCAATTCATTTATCAAATTTAATATCACATCCTAATTCTAGCGTAACAAAACATTTATCAACTACTGCAACAACATAATAATATCAACAATAGAGAGAAGTCTTTATTGCCTAGTTCACTGATGGTTGGATGAATTGATTTTTGAGAGAAAGAGAAGTTTAAGGATAACACGTGCCTGAAGCACGATGGAATGTGAATAGTTTTAAAATGAAAGTTGATGGTCTTTGAATGAGTTAATTTGAGATCGTTGGATGAATTTATTAAAATCTGTCGTGTTTTATATTATACTTACAACAATAGAGTAATAGTAATAGCCTTGCACAATAACAGACATAGTGCAATCACAGTGACATAACAACAATTGTTAGGATTAATTGCACTAATAGTCTCTTAAAGTATTTATTTTATCTCTTTTTGATTCTCAATATTTTAATAACGTGCCTAAAGGCACTGCATGACAAAAAAAATTGAGCACCAATTCTCTCAAACTTAAAGACAGTGGATTAAGTTTGGCACTCTACTCTAGTACAAACTATTTGATTAAAACCAAAAAAGCATGGAATATTAAAATTGAGCTTATTGACAACATAGAAAATTAAAAACCAAGTTGAGCAAGGAATAACCAAATAAAACATTTCTTTCGTTTCCAACAATCAATTATTTGGCACCTTGTCTGCGCCATTGCATATTATCCCTTCCCCTTTTTCCAACAATTTGTTTATGAAAGAAAATGAACACATCTTGACATCCAAGCCTCCTTTCTAAATTAAAAATGCAACTAACAGTAACTCCTCTTTGTTGGCACTTGTTTTTTTTTTCTTATGACGGAGTCTTGAAGAACACTTGACCGAATCCAGATTGAAGATTTCTCAACTCTAATGGTGATGGGAAAGTTAGAAGTTGGCAACCTTGAGTCCTACATTTAGAAAAAATCAAATCCACAAACTTCTCTGCCAATGTTAAGTTAATTTGATTGAAAAAACTTCACTACTTAAACTATGTGATATGCAATAAGAATAATGAGACATTCACACAACTATATATGAGCAAAAACATGAGATATTCAAAAGTATAACATAAGGCGAGATGAATCCGTATTAACCTGTTCAATTTTTTCAAAGACCAAGCAACATAAGTTAAAGGTATATTCGCTTCAATTTTAAACTAAACTTAATTTATACAATCTCATATATAGCAAAATAACAATAGAATAAGACTTAGATGCTTAATCAAAAGACATAGAATTGTACAAATGCATAAGCCGTCACAGGCTTATACTCATTTTGCAAAATTTTATAAGCACACAATTTTCTTATACCTGTAATTAGTAGAACACAAAAGATGTTCAGTGATATGAAAATCAACCTAAACCATAACTGTTGGGATTAACAAATACATCAATATATGTAAAGCCTTACACCTGCAGAGCATATGCTATAAACTTAATACAGAGCTCATATCTCGCTGATTCCTTATTACTGATTCAAAAGACTGGAAACAAAGGGTCATGACATGAGGGCTTAAATATCCATAGTTGTGAGCATTTTTTTATCCCCATCATGTAATAGAATGTTATCCAGAATAACGAAGTCAAAAAAAAAAAAAAAATCTTACAAAGAAGAACAGGAATGTTGGCGCTTATGCAACAAAATCAGATACAGGCAGCAATAAGTTAATGAAATATTTTAATGAAAAATATAATCAATAAAATTAATGTCTAACTCGGTCCAACAAAATCATCATCCATTTATTTTCAAAATTGAATATGGACAGAAAAATAATCCCACAACCTAGTTTCCCCACTATTGCCAAGCCTGTGTTTTGTACATATATACAACAGAACATACTCTCATTTTTTCTATACCTGTCATATCACACATATAATTTTATTTTATTTTTTGGAAAAGAGAAAATTATATTCCATGAAAACCAAAAATTACAAGAAGCAAAAAAGTGAAACTGTACCAAAACAGTCTAACAACCAAAACATTCAACTGTAAAAAAAAAAGTTTTATGTTATAAATCCTGTACAGCAACTGTTCTTGCCTCTGCAGCTCAGCACCTACTTTGTCTGATCCACTGTAGCTTCAGACCAGCACAGGAAACCTGCCCTCTAATCAATCCTACTGCTCAAGTGCTGAATCAGTTGGTAAACAGAAATCCCATCAGCTCCTGCCCTTTACTCAGTACAGCTCACACCAGCAACCTGTCAGAATAGCAGACCTACTGATAGAGCAGAACAGCAAAACAGGCCAACAACCCTTTATGAACTTCAGAAACAACCTCCTGTCATATCACATATCAAGGTAAGATTAAAGTTTGATATAAAAACTAATATTTGCACATGCGAACTAATTTGAAGGTCCATTACTCCAGCCTCCACCAAAAGACAATATAGGCTAGTGGCAGTTAGCTAGAATACAAATGGGTCTGGCTTTGAACTACCAAGTTATGGGCTGCATCACGTTGGAGTTAACAAAATCTTAAGACAAACACGTGGAAACTTATATTTGCAATGGGCAAAACATGTAATATTCAACTTCTAGTTCATATCTAAGATCTTTGGCCCTCTAAAATAATGTGTCCGTGATGCAGCGTCAGTCTGCTTGTGTGCGCAAGGAATGAGATCAGCTACTTAAAGAATTTTCATCAAACAACTTATAGCATATAAGAGTAACAATTGAATATTGAACTAAAATGAACTGAATAGGCACACACATACACAGAGTACCTAGAGCAAATCATTCACATTTAGTAATGCAGTAGTAGATCAAAATCATACCAAAAATATCAAATGAAAACTCAAATGACCCTAGTTGGGTAAATGGAAACCAAATTTCAACCCCAATGAAAACTCTAAAAATACATGCAGCTCATACATCTTTGTGGAGGCAAGACAAATCCCCAACCTTAAGATCCAGCATAGCTAATGAGGAGGAAAAAATACCTGCAAGACAATGTCTAGTAAAATTAAAATACACCCGAGCAAGATGCAATGGAAAAAAGAATATGACAGAAATAAGGTGCGGAAGGGAAATTCTTAATCAAGTAGCAATTGCAAGTACCATTATTTTGTAATTTCGGTTAACTAAGAAATATGTCACTGAGGAGTAGAAGAAGAAGATTCCCACAGTAATAATGAAACCAATGAAACAACACATTAAACTTGTCAAATGCCAAACAGAAAATTAATGAACAAAATTGGACAAAACTCGATAAACTCGGTGCATATACTATCAATCATTGCATTCAATTGTTAATCAAAGAGAAACATCATGACCAAAATCTTGATCGATTAAAAGCAATCTACCCAAATAATCTAACTTGCTCCGTAAAACCACATGAGTTATGGTAATAAAAAGTTTCTGCAAACTATTTCCACATAATAGGACAATTAAGAAACCAAAATTATTAAAAATGCTGCTTAGAAACAGTAAAGCTTAAGAACTATATATAATCAAACTCAACTTTTTAGTGCATAACTTTCACTCAACATGGTATCTAACACTAAAAAATCAAGTACTAACTACAAAGAATTGGTTCACAAAAATCAAGATTCAACATTACAAAAAGATTCAATATCAACAAAATAACTCAATTATTTCACAGTCAATATGGTAACTAACACTAAAAAATCAAGTACTGACAACTGAGAATTGGTTTAGCCACAACCTAAAACAATGTGAATGATGTATTGAAAAAAGGTTGACCAACTTGAAATATCCTGATTCACGAAACAAAAACACCAAAATACAAGTGGACATGGTTTAAAGGTTAAAAATTAGAACACACTATCAAATGTGTAGCCATATTAGATGGACTAACCAACATACTTAAGACATTTAGCATGGTAATTTCAACAAAATTACCATGCTAAAAACCATTAAAATGCAGAGTTTTCCCTGGCTCATCTTGACACGGGAACAAACACGCATCGACAAGCTTGTAGATGTAAACGAAACCACTTACACCATCTATATTGATTTCAGGAGCATATGAGGAAAGCATAAAATGGATCCTGAGGTAGGACACAAGGTTGGTCTGAAATTCAGTCACATTGACATTCAAGGCTCCATCAAACCTCAAAGAAGCAGTAAGTGAATAAATCACCTACGACAAAGATGGCATAAACAAATTCATCAGTTACAAGTGTCAATGTTAATTTTTAAGGAAACACCCTGAAATATATTAAGTAGTACTCATTCACCTGGGAGATAAGGCGGTTAAGATTGGTGTAAGTGGGCCGCTCAATGTCATGGGAGCGCCTACAGAAAGATTGATTTCAGGAAGGAGGTTTCTTCGGAGAGATTGTCAAATCCTCGTTGGTAAGCTACAGAAAGATTGATTTTAGAAAAATGAACAAACAAATGAGAGAAAAAAAATAAAGAAATTGAGCAAAAACTCTCTGAGAACTTTTTGTCAAACATGTGGTGTCTATGGTTGGTGGTGGAGGTGTTGGGTGGACATCTTTGAGCTTGGCAACAGTGATATTGACAGAGAGGGTGAGGGATTTGCGGTAACAGAGAGGGTGAGGGAAAGGGGGTAGGATGGGGGTGGTGTTGCGTAGAAAGGTAGAGAAGAGATGGGGGTAGATGGGGGGTTAGCGCGTGTGTGTGTGAGAGATAGAGAGAGATGAAGGATACCTGGGTTAGCAGTAGTGGCGGTGCTGGTGGTGGAATGGCTTGATGGTGGAATGGCTTGAGAGAAGTCTAATTTCAAAAAAAAAAAAGAAAGAGAGATGGAAGGGAGGCGACATGTCTGACAGTGAGGTGACCAAAAGGTATGATTTTGAAAAATAATTTGAGTGAGAGGGGATAAGTTTGGGGGGAAATGGAGAAAGATTGGTAGCCATTAGATGAAATGAATTGTGACCATACGATCAGCTTGTTGAAGCCCGCTGTGTTTTATATTATAGATCGGTCATAATTCGTGTCCGAAGGCATAATAAAATATAAAATTTGAGCGTCCAAAAAATCGATTCTATTATATTAATTTTTTTAAAATATATTAACTACAAATTAATTAAATATTAAATAATTAAATATATGATAAAAATGAATAATATGATATTTTTGGAAGAAATACATAAATGATTAAACATATGATAGAAATAAGTGATGCGATTTAACGTCTAATTCTGACAAAAGGACGATAAGTGAGGTAAGTGATTAGTGATGATTTTGAGGGAAAAAATATGACTGTGACAAAATTCAAATACATTCCTGTTTTATTATATAGATTTATTCACATGGATCTAGCTAAAAAATTGTATTAGAGTGGGCACGAATATTTTAATAAATTATTATTTTTTTTCTTACAATTGATAGAAATAGGACAATAATTTATTTAATTTCATTTCATTTGATACTTAAAAGTTCATTAAACCCATCATACTGAAATTTGATAAACCTAGTATATACAAGCGATAACATTTTTTTTTTACAAAACATTAACTAATTAAAATCATTTAGAATTGATTTCGCTGAATTTTTGTACTTTCAAAATGTTGCATAACAACTTTATTATTCTTTAGATATATAATCATGTTATCACTTTGGTATTTATAAATTATTTGATCAATTATGCAGCTTAATGTTGATGGCATATTTCAACGTGGATGAGCAAAAGGTGCAAGTAACGTAAGATGAGCGTAGATCAGAGCTTCAAGGCTCATGTATGATGATACAATCAAATATTGAGGGGATTAAATGGATGTACACAGTAAAAATATAGTGGTTCACCGGCTCAGGAGCTCGACTAGTCCACTCTTCAATTGAGGTTATTGCTCCTTTTCTTCTCTATTTACTATATCAAAAGGTTTACAGAATGTAAGATGTGCTACCCGGGTTCCCCTTCTGTTAGGGGGTGTTACCTTGCATTTATAAGGTCATTCACTGCTGAGAAGGATCTTAGCTGAGATTCTTGTCCTCATTTCGTGAGCTTCTCCTTAATTCTAGGAGAAGATCCTGGTTGGTTGAGATTGGGTGCCTTGATTACAGTTTCATAACGCTTTAGGATCCTCTTGCGGTTATCCAACTGTTATCTTGCCTTAAAAAACACTCGGCCCTTACCCTCTGACCTCCGCTAATGTGTCTGACCTCTTGGTCCGCGCTGACCTCCTGAGCTTAGCACTTGGAATTTATTTTAGGTATCATCAGTTGCCCTCCAGCCCTTGGCTCAAGCGAGCTTGGGCATGCGCTGAGCCGCTTTCGTATTGGACCAGGCCTGCACCTAGCTGACCTTATTCTGCATGTGAGATGCACGTGGGGGGGGCATTTTGACGGTTTATAGCAATTATGACTTTCTTGATTCTCGTGCATGTTTCAGCCCACGTGACTCAAGCTTTAAATGCTCAAACAGCTACCCAAAAATCGCTCAAAACTCTCTGTTCATCTTCTACGCTGTTCACCTTTACCTCTACCTCTTTTCCTCTGTAATTCATGGGTTTTCCTACACATGATTCACTCATTCTCTGCTCAAAACTGTGTTTTTTGGGTACGCCTTGAAGTCTTGTTTTGCTTCTTCTCTCCAATTTCATCCTCGATTGCTATTTGCTGCTCTCTTCTCTGTCTAGGTACGCTCTTTCTGCCCCTTTCTCTTTCTCTTACCTTTCCCCGCTCTGGAGCCCTCGAATTCGAGGTGGCCGTTGTTTTTCTGGGTTTTTCGGTTCTTTTACTTTTGGAATCGAGATTGTTGTTTATCTCCTCTTCCCCGCTTTGTGGATTAGAACTCTACTGTGCGAATTCTTACCATTGGGGGGTACAGTGCTGACCCTAGGATTATTAAGAGGTGTTTGATTAGTATTCTTCCTCTATATCATTCTTTCAATCTACCTTTCTCTCTACCAATCATGTTTGCCTCCTCTGGAACAACTCCTTCCTCTGTTTCCCTTTTAAGCGATAGATCTGCCGAAAGAGATTCTAATTTAGGGGATGTAGGTGACAAGATTGACAACTTTCATGGTATAGATTCTGCCAAGGTAGAGGTGAAAATCGAGGAAGCCCCCTCCACCTCTTCTCCCATGCCTGACTGATAAGGGCAAGGGCAAATTAAGTGGTATGGGAGTCATTGTTTCAGGCGCAAGGACTGCTTTTAGGAATGCTGAACTTGTAGGTCCCAGCGGACTTACCTTTTCTGACCTGAAGGTTCTCAGTGCTTGTTTTCATTTCCCCCCAGGGGTTCAGCCCTGGAGTCTTGATAAGTACACCACATATGTTCACCATGTCCACAAGAAGGTATGTTTCTTCCTGGCAACTTTTGATAACGAACTTCGCTTCCCCATTCATCCCTTTATCAAAGGTGTCCTTCAACACTTCAATGTTTGCCTTGCCCTGCTCTCCCACAAATTTTGGGGTGTTCTTATGGGTTTACTAGTCTTCTTTAAGGACCATGAGCTTGGGGTCTCTACTGTTTCCTTACTTATGGAGCTGTTCAATGTCAAGCAGACCTCCTCTGACGATTTTCTGTATATTTCCAAGAGAACTAAGGCCAAACAGGTCATCTCTGACCTCCCAAGCTCCCATCAGGGCTGAAAAAAATAATTTTTCTTTGTAGGGGGTACACTGTGGGAGTTCAACTCAGAGGATAAAATTAATACCCTCCTNAAACTTGTCAAATGCCAAACAGAAAATTAATGAACAAAATTGGACAAAACTCGATAAACTTGGTGCATATACTATCAATCATTGCATTCAATTGTTAATCAAAGAGAAACATCATGACCAAAATCTTGATCGATTAAAAGCAATCTACCCAAATAATCTAACTTGCTCCGTAAAACCACATGAGTTATGGTAATAAAAAGTTTCTGCAAACTATTTCCACATAATAGGACAATTAAGAAACCAAAATTATTAAAAATGTTGCTTAGAAACAGTAAAGCTTAAGAACTATATATAATCAAACTCAACTTTTTAGTGCATAACTTTCACTCAACATGGTATCTAACACTAAAAAATCAAGTACTAACTACGGAGAATTGGTTCACAAAAATCAAGATTCAACATTACAAAAAGATTCAATATCAACAAAATAACTCAATTATTTCACAGTCAATATGGTAACTAACACTAAAAAATCCAGTACTGACAACTGAGAATTGGTTTAGCCACAACCTAAAACAATGTGAATGATGTATTGAAAAAAGGTTGACCAACTTGAAATATCCTGATTCACAAAACAAAAACACCAAAATACAAGTGGACATGGTTTAAAGGTTAAAAATTAGAACACACTATCAAATGTGTAGCCATATTAGATGGACTAACCAACATACTTAAGACATTTAGCATGGTAATTTCAACAAAATTACCATGCTAAAAACCATTAAAATGCAGAGTTTTCCCTGGCTCATCTTGACACGGGAACAAACACGCATCGACAAGCTTGTAGATGTAAACGAAACCACTTACACCATCTATATTGATTTCAGGAGCATATGAGGAAANNNGGGGTAGGGCACAAGGTTGGTCTGAAATTCAGTCACATCGACATTCAAGGCTCCATCAAACCTCAAAGAAGCAGTAAGTGAAGAAATCACCTGCGGCAAAGATGGCATAAACAGATTACAAATTCATCAGTTACAAGTGTCGATGTTAATTTTTAAGGAAACACCCTGAAATATATTAAGAAGTGCTCATTCACCTGGGAGATAAGGCGGTTAAGATTGGTGTAAGTGGGGCGCTCAATGTCAAGGGAGCGCCTGCAGATATCATAAATGGCCTCGTTGTCAAGAAGCACAGCAACATCAGTATGCTCAAGAAGGGAATGGGTTGACAGGACACTGTTGTAGGGCTCCACAACAGATGTAGAAACCTGGGGTGAGGGATAAATGGTGAAACCAAGCTTTGATTTCTTGCCGTAGTCAACAGAAAGCCGCTCCAGCAGAAGTGACCCAAGGCCCGAACCAGTACCACCACCAACAGCATTGAAAACAAGAAAACCCTGAAGGCCAGTGCAGTTGTCAGCAAGCTTCCGGATGCGATCCAAGCAGAGATCAACAATCTCTTTCCCAACTAGGGTAAAACAAAAAGATAACAAAAACATAAGCATTTAACTCAAATCCAATGAATCAAATCATTAGCGTGAGACAAGAATGCTACTCACTGGTGTAGTGGCCACGGGCAAAGTTGTTGGCAGCATCTTCCTTGCCACTGATGAGTTGCTCAGGGTGGAAGAGCTGACGGTATGCTCCAGTCCTCACTTCGTCAATGACAGTGGGCTCAAGATCTACGAAAACAGCGCGAGGGACGTGCTTTCCAGCTCCAGTTTCGCTGAAAAAAGTGTTAAATGCATCATCACCTCCACCAACGGTTTTGTCACTCGGCATCTGGCCATCAGGCTGAAAACAAAGGAAAAACTTCAGAAATACTCCCAAACATATTCTAAAAAGTATCAACGTCTTCAGAAATGTGAGAATAAATTAAACCAGACCAAACCAAACATTTGTGGTCGGTTATATCAGTCTGTCTTCGCTATTTATTTCAATCATACACTACACTCATGTAAATTAAATATTTTATATATTTTCTTATTATTTTGTTTAGTGTTAATTTCAGTCTACCCTTATTTTTAGTACCATTAAAAAAAATTCTATCACTAAATTGAACTGGTGCCTCTATTGGCAGAAACGTGAGAATAAACAAAAATATTTCAAACAAAGAGAGGAACCAAAATATGAAAAAATAAGAATGCATTTAACCAATGAGCTAAACATTAAAAAACACTATATCCATACAAAACCATACCACAATTTGATTACTTACATTATATCAAAGGGATTTCAAACAAATTACAACGCTAAATCTGTACTAATAACAAGCAACATCAATTTCATATAGTTTAACTTACAAATTCGCTAGGTCCCCAAGTAAATTAAGCTACAGTCCAGATCAAAAGCATCAATTTCACAATAACAACGAATGAGAATGTGGTTTTGCTGATCATGAAGAAACTATGAAAACATACATGAATGAAAATCTACGTAATACATCTTCATGTTCTACATATGTGTACGCCACAAAGCTAGAGATCCAGAATGAACATAAGTAACTATGAAAAATTAAGGCATTGCCACAGACATAAAATTCTTCTGAAAATAGGAATGTTGATCATAATTAACAAATTATGCAACCATGAAATGCATACTTCGATGTATTGGTCGCTACATTTCATCCATAATCATATNATGTACGCCACAAAGCTAGAGATCCAGAATGAACATAAGTAACTATGAAAAATTAAGGCATTGCCATAGACATAAAATTCTTCTGAAAATAGGAATGTTGATCATAATTAACAAATTATTCAACCATGAAATGCATACTTCGATGTATTGGTCGCTACATTTCATCCATAATCATATTGATACACCAGTTCTATCAATATTGCCAACAAATTTTCACAAAAGCACAATTATATCAACAATTGACACAGATCTAATGAATAACCCAAAAGAAAGGCCAAATCACAACAAAATTTCGACATAACCACGAAAATTGAAGGAAATAAGCAACGCTATTTATTTTTTCATGAAACATCTCACAAAATTCGCAATAACAAACATATTATCGACAAATAAAGCATTACAGATAGCTCATTTCGTCATTTTCAACCACCAAACAAATAATAGAGGACATAGATATATATATATATATATATATATATNTATTTATTTTTTCATGAAACATATTATCGACAAATAAAGCATTACAGATAGCTCATTTCGTCATTTTCAACCACCAAACAAATAATAGAGGACATAGATATATATATATATATATATATATATGGACAGAGAGAGAGAGATCTTACATGAATGCCATGCTCAAGGCAGTAAAGTTCCCAGCAGGCATTGCCGACCTGAATACCAGCTTGACCGATGTGAATCGAAATGCACTCCCTCATTTTCACGAAATCGAAGAAAAAAAAAATCAACAACAGACAATTATAAACACTAAAGATCGAAAGAGAGCCANTCCCTCATTTTCACGAAATCGAAGAAAAAAAAAATCAACAACAGACAATTATAAACACTAAAGATCGAAAGAGAGCCAAAAAGCCAATGATAGCCACGAACGGCGTTTATGAAGACGCCTTTCCGATGATAAGCTTTCCAGTTCTTACTGTGGTGTTTTTTATACAGAGAAAAAGGCCTCAAAAAGAAGAAGAAATATATAGGCCAAANATAAGCTTTCCAGTTCTTACTGTGGTGTTTTTTATACAGAGAAAAAGGCCTCAAAAAGAAGAAGAAATATATAGGCCAAATTGACCAGGGTCAACTAACCATGGTTACCGCTGGGTCCCAGTTAGGCATGAACAATTATTATTGTTGCCAGCCTGGTACGCACTATTTACCCTAATTTAACCGTGGTTACTATTTGCCCGCTCGATTTTGAGTTTTTGATTTTCTTGGGGAAATAGGCTTGATTAGCCAAGAAATTGCACAAGTGCCATTTAGATGAAAGTTTAAGTAGTTCTTTGCTGAAGGGTAAAAAGGACATTGCGGATTTGTGGAAGATTTTGCTGTGAGTGCATCGGTTACTCGTGATTTTCGACGCGGGCCCCACTGTAATTGTTAGCTATTTGAATCGAGCACATGCAATGTTTTGACCTGTTAGCGTCACAATATTGGGCTCGATTATCAGTCTTATCCATAATAATTGTAGGGAAAATTAGATCGAGATATATTCAATTAGATTTAATTGTAAAAAAATTCATAAAAAAAAATATTAGGTAATCAAATCCTTAATTTTGATATTTATTTGTATCTAAGTACATTATTTGAATTTTACTGATTTTTTTGTGACATTTTTACCCTCTATTAATTCATGTGTATTTAATGCACCACTTTTTCTTTGGAAAGTAGTGCATTAAATATCTCCTAGTTATATATATATACTTGTTTGAATTTCAAAATTTATATTCATGTATATATAAAAACGTATATGTATATAAATTATATTTTAATGCACATTGATTCATGCGTTATATATATATATACACTTATATAAATACTTATGTATGTGTGTATGTACTTATGTATGTTTGTATGTATATATATTTATATATATGATTCATGCGCACACTTATATAAATATTTATGTATGTATATACTTGTAAAATATCTTATCTAAATTTTGAATTATCTTTTAATGTACCTTGATTTCTGCATTTTTTATTTTTGGGAAAGTAGTTTTATTTTTAAATTAATTTAATATCCGAATAGTGTTATAGTGTAATAATAATAATATAATAATAACAATATAACAATAAAAATATAACAATATAACAATAACAGTGTAACAAACTATTTATACAAAATATTATATTATTATATTTTGTCAAACATATAGTTTTATATAATTTCATTCAAAATAGTACATCTCTGTTTTGAATTTGTTACCACATATACAAAACTACTGAACACTATTTTTGTTATAGTGTATTTGTTACACTGTCTTTGTTACACTGTTACATTATTCGAATATTAAATTAATTTGAAAATAAAACAATTTTTCAAAAAAAAAAGCGTTTGAATCAAAGTGTATTAAATATAATTTGAAAACAGATTTACTTTCTAAAAAAAAATACGCATAAATCAAGCTGCATTAAAAATAATTCAAATTTTAGATAATAGATTTAACGACAAATGTATATATATATATATANGAATCAATGTGCATTAAATACGTATTTATATGTATTAACAAACACACATGAATCAAGGAGAATTAAAGATAAGAGATTTTGAATTAAATGACCCTAAAATGAGCATTTATGTTTTTATAACTTAGCTGTGTATTTTTTTCTAAAACANATTTATGTTTTTATAACTTAGCTGTGTATTTTTTTCTAAAACATTTTATTTTTTGTAATTTTTATCAAATAAGTCTAATTAGATGTACCGACTTCCAAAGAACCCATAATTGTAAGGTGTACGATTGGACGAGTCCATAAGTTAATCTGAATTCTTTTCCGGTTTGAGTTCAACTCAAAACTGAATTTAATTTTGAGTATTATCCACGTTTTAATTATGGGAATTTGTACTTTACACGAGATAAGTTGAAATTGAATTAATTTCATGTTTAATTAGAGTATTTTTAGTTTTAAGTATAATATTTAAAATTTTAGGGGTTTATAAGTATTACATATTTTAAATTTTACAACTAAAATTCATGTTCTATTGTATCATTTATTAAAAAAATTAAAAATAAAAATTCAAATTTTTTTAAAAAAATGTAATTAGTATAAAATTATATTTATCTATTGAAATTTAATTTGGTCGTTTAAACGATCAAATTAAAATACCAAACTACTTCAATTAAAGCTAAAAAATATTGTGTTCGTTATAGTTTGACCCATTGTTTAATTTTTTAGTTTTATTCTAATAGATAGTATAATTATATACTAACTATGATTTTTTTTAAAAAATTAGATTTTTATTTTTGATTTTATTTCAATAAGTGATATAATAGAACATGAATTTTGGATGTAAAATTCAAGTTCTATTATGAATAACTTAGACCCGTTGTTTAATTTTTTAGTTTTATTCTAATAAATAATATAATTATATACTAACTATAATTTTTTTTTAAAAAATTAGATTTTTATTTTTGATTTTATTTCAATAAATAATATAATAGAGCATGAATTTTTGATGTAAAATTCATGTTCTATTATGAATAACTTAGGCTCATTGTTTGATTTTTTAGTTTTATTCTAATAGATAGTATAATTCTATGCTAATTATGATTTTTTAAGAAAAAATTAAAATTTTATTTTTAATTTTATTTCAATAAATGATACAATAAAACATAAATTTTTGCTATAAAATTTAAAATATTTGATATTCTATATTTGATTGGAGTATTTTTAATATAAATACAATATTTTAAACTTAAGGTGTCTGAGTATTATATACTTACAAATTTTAGGGGGTCTAAGTATGATTTATTAACTGATATATTTACAGCAAATGTCTAAATGTTATGCGCGTACAAACTTCAGGGAGTCTGTGTGTAATATTTCAAATGTCAGAGAGTCTGAGTGATTAAGTGACAAACTTCAGTGAGACTTTGTGTAATTCACCCTATAATTTACTAATGGATGCAAGATCTTAGTGTTAGAGTACAAACTTCAAGGGATTAATATGTAATATTTCAAATGTTAAGAAATTTAAGTGATTAAGTAATAAATTTCAAAGAATCGGAGTATAATTCTTTTTTTTTTTGTAACTCAAATTTAGATCGAAGTTTGGATTTTGATCGGAAATGATCTCACTTTTGATAATTCCTTGAAACTTCCATGTTCTTGGCAAGTAAGCAGGTTTCTTGGACCGCAAATGCTCATGAATAAATGTTTGAGACAATGGGTTTGTTTGAATGAATTTTGGGAAGGGGTTTGGATTAAATTTTTCAAATTTTTTCAAATTTAAATTCCTCTTTACAAATATGTGATTAAATATTTAATTCGGTTTATACCTATATTTGGTATGTAACACATATATATTTAGGATTTATGGATATATTATAGTTATTAATAATTATTTATCTTATAAATGACTATTTTATCCTTAATCTAATCAATTCAATTCAATTCATACACATTTATTATTTGCATTCTTACTCTTTAACCCGTCTTCCCAAACTTATTTCCTCCCTAAGTTTGAAGGAATCCATGATTATGGGTTTAATCTTTGGATCAACTATAAATCGAGTTTAAAAATTCAAGATTAAATTTTCAATTCAAACATGAAATTTAAAAATCTTTTAAATTATTTTTTTCAAATTCATCTCGTTAAAGCCCCCATATCTTCTTACTAAACAGTGTTAGGATTGATTTTGCTATCCCACCAACCAACTTTCCTGCTGCAAATTAATATCACCGGTGAGACGTGGAGTAGAGGATGGCCACGTATCCTTGCTCACCCACGTGCTATTAAAGACCTTTCTCCAAAAGTTGTCTTCTTTTTTAGAGCATATTCAAGAAAATAATTAAAACTTTAAAATAACTAAGTGTCGGTAACATTGCGCTTTTCACATTAATAGATCGCCCAAAATTTATTTAATATTACAGTTAGGATATTAACGAGGGATCCAATAGATATAAATGAGTCCCTTTTGAATTCACATAGATGCATTATCAAAGAAGAAAATAGAAAAAAAAAAGAATAAATTGGAACATAATTGATGACCTAGTATGTTGTTACGATTATAATAAGGGTTAATCTCATTTTGCACCCCGAAAAATTGTTCGAATCTCAATTTACACCTTCAAAGATCAAAAATCTCAATTTACACTCTCAAAGATAGAAATTTGTATCAATGTGCACTCCCAAAGATCAAAAATCTCAATTTGCACCCTCAAAGATAAAAATTTGTATCAATGTGTATCCCCAAAGATAAAAAATCTCAATTTGCACCTTCAAAGATAGAAATTTGTATNAAATTTGTATCAATGTGCATCCCCAAAGATAAAAAATCTCAATTTGCACCTTCAAAGATAGAAATTTGTATCAATGTGAACCTAAAATTAAATTAATAAATTATACCTTGATCCCCTTATGTTTGTCACTTAATCATTTGAATTCCTTCACATTTAAANAATGTGCACCTAAAATTAAATTAATAAATTATACCTTGATCCCCTCATGTTTGTCACTTAATCATTTGAACTCCTTCACATTTAGAATATTCCCCTTACATCTCATGACGTTTATGCATGTGTAACACATAACCACTTTTCGTTGATATATATTAATATAATCGTTAAAAAATATGATTTTATCCTAATCTAAAATTATAATTTTATATTACCTTTTATTTTGTGGATTTGATATACTCTAAAGTTAAAAATCAAGCTTACCATTTGAATGTCTAATAAAATGTAGATATTTATATAAAAGG